CTGCAGACATGACCCACGAGGCAATCTGGGGATATGGACTGTCCCGGCTCAGGAGAGACCCTAGGACTGGCCAGTGGGGGCTATGAATCCGGACTGAGGGCACCGAAATTACCTGATCCCCAGCCTTGTGGGGAAGTGGGGAGACGCTGGCTCAGCCGGCGCAAGTCCCTGTGCCATTGCGCTCGTTGGAGGGGAGCCAGCGCGCTGCCTGACCTGGCGAGCGCAGGCAGAGCAAGCGGACGGGCGAGCGACTGGTTAAACTCGCCAGGCCAGGGGCCGAGCTGCGTGGGGAGCCAGATTAACACAACCGGCCCATCGCATCACAGGGCCCTCCCGCCAGCCCCACAGCACCGGGTCTCGGGGGGGGGGGGGGCACTATGCAGCGGGGCAGGGATATCATGGAGTGGAACAGGAGAGAGGGGATTAATGGCTAGGAAAGAGCCCCCCCCTTCTCTCCTGAGGTACGTGGGTGCCAGGCAGCAGGGAGGCAGCCGGCTCTCCACGGGCCCCTGCCCAGCAGCGAGGGCAGAGCGACGCCCTGGCCCTACCTTCTTCTGGCACGACTGCCTGATCTCCTCCACCTCCTCGTCGCGGCTTTCCACCTCCTTGGAATGGGTCTGCCGCAGGCGTTCCATCTCCATCTCCAGACGCAGCTTGGCCTGTGGGCGGAAAGCCGCCCCGGTCAGCCCGATGCTGGGGGCCTGGCCGCCTCCCTCCTGGCAGGGCGGCCCTCTGCTGACCACTTCCATCCCGCCGAGCCCGAACGCAGCCAGGCAGAGCACGGCCACTAGCCCTCGGGGGCAGCACACGGACAGGGCCAGCCCAAGGCCTGTCGGACCTTCCATAACCCTCAATCCCCACAACCCAGCACACTAGACAGCAGCTGTCTACCCCGGTAACGCTGATCGCCTTCTCGGCCGGCACGGCACAGAGCAACCGGCCTGCACCCAGGGAGAGGTCCTGTGTTACCCCGGCTACGAACTGCCAGGGAGCGCAGGGACAGGGGAGCCCTCGTCCTGGGGAGCTGAGGTGACAAACACTCCCTGCCCATCGCCGGGGCTCGGCGCCAGAGACGGGGTCACCTGCTCCCTGCCCATCGCCGGGGCTCGGCGCCAGAGACGGGGTCACCTGCTCCCTGCCCATCGCCGGGGCTCGGCGCCAGAGACGGGGCCACAGCAGTGACACTCGCAATGCCCCCAGTCCAAGGCCCACGCTGCTGCTCTGCCAGCCAGCATCTCTGTGGCCCTTGCAGGTCACTGCTCCGTGCCGGGAAGGCAGCGTTCCTGTCTCTCCGAGCCCCCGGGGCAGGCCTGGCCCCACACACCAGCCGGTCGCCCCGCGCTCTAGTCCCCTGGAGGGGGCTGCAGCAGCAGAGGGGGAGCACCCCGCCCACGCTGAACGCAGGGTCACCCAGCAAGCCGGCTGGCCGGAGCCGTGCGAGCCCTGGGCGGGAGGAGCCAGCACGACAAACCCACATGAAACCGGCACACCCAGAAACCAGCCGCCCACTCGAGGAGGGAGCCGCTCCCTGATCCCTGCATCGAGCCAGGATTGAATCCGGTGGGTCGCCTCCCACCCT